AATTTGTGCTCCGCTGGCTCTCTAATGTGCCCTCCGCTCCTTTGCTGTTCCACACATCCTTCCGTATCCGTGCCTCCCGAGCCTGTACTCAGAAATGCTGCGAGACTTGCCCTCTCTGCCTTTTCTAGCCTCTCCATTGCTTCTCGTCTTTCTTGGGCCTGACCACAAATGTTTTTAAATGTCATGAACCACCGCCGCCCTCCGATGCCCCCTGCACATTTGTCACCTCTCGTTACAACCATTATACACCTTTATTAAATCATACAATTTCCCCCAACACACAAACTCGCTCCCAATGACAATAAATTTCACATACCCTTCATGGGCTGGTTTATTTGGCAGGATGGTGAAGCCTTTAATTGCGATACTATCCATACTCCTTTCAAGCTTTCCTCCTCACCCTGTTCAAAAACCATGCTGCTCGTAGGCAAGCTGTTGCCGCTCCTGCTGCACCTCTTCTGCCACCCAGCCAGCCCACATTCCTCCTCCTTGGCCGAGCAGGTAGGCTCTGCATAGGATCAAATCTCCTATAGAGTGACAAACACTAAATGGCGCGCAACAAATTAAAATTTGATGACCGTTGTTAAGGGTCCTTCAAAAAAGGTACTTTTCCCAACCTTTAATTTTCACCCATACCATGCATACAAACATAAATTCCAGATCCTCGTCAATGACGGAGACTATATAATATAAGTAAAAGAATAGTACCAAGTAATATATTATTATAATATATATATATATATAAGAAGAAGAAGTAGCTGACCCTAAAATATTTTCTTTAATCTGTTGATGATCTATTCTGGTTTTAAGCTTTCTTTTCCTTGCAAAAATATCCTGGAGAAAACACTGGTTTTCATTTGTCAAGTTAATAAATATAAGGGGATACTATCTCAAATAAAAAATCGATCGTGCATAAATAAAATAATAACTTCACGCTAAATACATTACCTGTTGAGGTGGTGTAATGCTCTCTTGCTCGTAGAACTCAGTGCTCTGTTTGGGTTTGCTGTGCAGGCTGAGGCCCTTTTCAAAGGCCTGCTGCTCCAGCATTAGAGTGGAGCGTAGCCAGAGGTTGTGTGTCTTTCCCAAGTACTTCAGCACACAGGGGCGGATGGGAATAGGAGGCACACACTGCGACATGGCCTCCACAAAGCAGTTTAGGGCACTGGGCTGGCAGTCCCTCTGGGCCTGGTGGCTGCCACTGCACAGGAAAGGACTCATTTCTCCTGACAAAGCCTGGAGAGGGGGGAGAGAGGTCATCAAGCTTCCCAGTTTCACTTAAGCAGCAATGCACTGATATAGCATATTGATAAAGGCATTCTGTTGCATGTATGTGATGTAACACGATGCCTTTTTCCAGTAAAAGAGCTGTTAAGAAACAGGAAAAGAGAGGTAAGAGAAAACAGTTAAGATGAATGGGAAGGGATACATGACCACAAGAAACATGATCAACAAGTCACTGGAAGTTCATTAATTTTATACAGAAATGAGCAAATATGATTTAATATGCAAATGGCGTGTTGTGTTTTTATCTACAAATACGAATAGTCAATATTGGAAAATATTAATATCATGGAAGTGATTACAACCATTTAACTCACACACACTTACACTTACACTCACACATACTTACACATTTTCAATTAATTTAGCACTTCCACATACCTTTATTTAAGGTAATGTAGACATTTTGAAAAAAGTATTTGTTTGTTTGATCTGCACAGAACTGCTCTGTGAAATCAGAGCCTCTCTGAGCGTCCATAGAATAGACTTTGAGTGTGACCGCAGAGTAAGTGCCCTGATAATCATGACTGACACATACTCAGAAATAAATGATGTATTGGTAATGAATATAATTTTCACTGCCCATTGACAGAATGGAATAATTAATGCCTTGATGGTCACTTTAATTAGGCTGGTGGTGGAGAGGGCCAAATTCATTCCTAAGAGGAATATGCTTTTCTATCCCATGTATTAATCAGTTCAGTGATATAAGTCTGAAGAGCAGTAATCACTCTATTTTCCCCATAGACTGAGCTGAGGAAGGAATCAGAATAAACACATGACATATTTATGACTTCATGTCTGTCACAGGAAGAAAATTTGACTGCATCTTTCAGATGTTTTAGAGCTCAATCACTTCAAATCAAGGCCTTTCAACAAGTCTCAAAATACTCTATATGCATCTGGTTCGTTAAACTCATTACAGCTTCCCTCCTTCAGCACTCTCGTTTCCATATTTAGCATAAATGAATCTGTCCTCATTAAGTGGAATTGCACGTTTTGAGAGTAGGATGGCCAAGGTCAGAGTTACTGTCAGCTTGCTAACGTCACTGATAAGATGCAGAAAAGGATATAAGGAGCGGATGAGTGTGTGTGTGACTCAATGAGAACAAATAGGCAAAGTCAAAAATACCTGCGTTATTGGTTTATATTCTGAAAGGGACTTAAATGTCATTGTGGAGTGACAAAGAAGCATGCATTTCTTTCCCGTATTAAATATTACGGGAATTTTCACAACAGTTGTCATATTTTCACCCATTATACTTGCAGCAACACTAAAATTGTTACCTAGCTCTGAGCTTCTCTGCTTTGGGTGTAACTACGTAGAGGCCAGTAAGCTATACTCACATGCTGCTGCCTGTCAGAGAGGATCTTCCACAGGCGAGGGAAGAGCTGAACCCAGGTCCTCTCAGCCAGCGGTGTGGAGATGTGACAAAGCTGGACCAGAGCATTCAGAAGTGCCCCCGTCTAACACAAAGCACAGAAAAAGGACAGTTGCTGACTCAGCAAGGCAGTGCTGTTCTTAAACCTTGTCTTCAGGGCTCAAAAGCACTACTAATTTACTATCCTTCTAGGTGCATAAACGCATTTGACTGATCTCCCAGGTTAAAAATCAGTTCCTGATTTTATAGCTAGAATAAAATAAAATAAGGAAGTTCGGCATCTCAAACACTGCATTCTCTAATATAGCCAGTAGTAACCCCAGAGTAATTAGGGTCATTTTGTTAAATCATCCCCCTCAGCTTTGTCAAAATCCAGCTAGCTTCGTCAACCTTTTAGTGCATTCTGATCTGAAGGAGTACATGCTGGTTTTCAAAAGGACCAACCTTACCTTAACCTCCCGTAGTGAGTCAAGAAACTTGTCATGGCGGTTCGTAAGCATGTGCAGTTGGTTTCCTGCATCTCTCTCAGCCTGCTCCTTACTCTTTGGGATGGCTGTCTGGTCACCTGGTGCCAACTCTATGTCTATCTCCACATCCTGCCAGAGACCACAAGAGAAGAGAACAAAACCATTGTCTTTCCGGAGAGCTTTGACATTTAGACCACACGTTGGAGAAAACGCTGTCTTGAAAGGGCATTTTATGACATTAACCATCAACAGCTTCAAGGTAATGGGTGACAGATGAGAACAGACACTCATTTAAAAAAGACAGACGAAGTGTAAGTCAAAAAGCAAGGCATTCATTTCTTCTCAGGACCACAGTATGTAACACATTCCTAATGGGATAATGTGCTAAATGATGTAAACGGACATGTCTCTTGGTGCACTGTGGTGTGGGTGTGTTTGTGTGCATTTGTGTGTCCCACCTCCTCCTTGGTCTCACTGTTCTCTCTTTCTCGTGGCTCCTGCTTGACATGAGTTGCCATGGCAAAGGCTGCGCGGTCATGGCTGTCAGCTAGGTTGATGACGTTAGTGATAGACGGCAGCATGGACCCCTGGCAGCTGGTGCCGATGATGGTGTTTCGTTCGCACACTGCCAGCAGCAGCTAATAAGCGCAAACACACAAAACACAACAAGTGCAAAACGTAAAACAGAAGATCAGTTTTAAATGACACAACAAGTGACGGGCATGTCAAGAGTCTGGCTGAAACTAAAAGATAAAAGAAAGACTTGTTTTATGAGTCATCAATACATTCTTTGTGTTGGATAAAAGGCTTAAAAGGCCTACTGAAAGATCAGAGGCAGCACTCTGTTTACCTCTATACACTGTTTGATCCAGAAGTGGCTGCCCATGGCCTCCCAGTTCTGAGAACAGCATATGTAGAGAAGCCTCTCATAGACACGGCGCTTCATTGAGGCATCAAACACCTCAAAGAACTTGGCTCTGATCAGTGGCTGAGTGCAGCGAAGACCAGAGAGGAAGGCTGGCTCCAACTTGGATGTGATGTCACTTCCTGAAAGGCTCTCATCCCTGAATAATGTGATGGACAAAACAATTATTTGACAGAGCTTGCATGCTGGCTCTTACCCATTTTATTTCCATGATTCATGAGGGCAGAATGCAGGCGTTTTGTTGATAATAAAAAATTTAATTCACTTAGAACATCTGCTGTAACTAAAAGCAGTCACGGCAATGATGCAAGAGCCAAAACTACAGTGAGACAATTCTCACAATATGTAACAAAACAATTAAGTACACCCTGCAATAAAAGCGTATCATATTCAGTTTTTACTATAGTATACCAGAAATGTGCTGATTCACTGTATGGTGTGTCTGGAAGCCGTTTTATGATTTTTACCTCTGTTAACTGCATTTGTAAAATTAATGACATGAATTAATGAAACAAATTAAAATATGTTTTTGTACAAGGAAAGAGTAATTTTTTAAAAGAGCACCAGAAAAAAAATATTCTAAGAATTATCTGATTACCAGAATGACTCTCAAAATCATCAGAAGAATAGTATGAAAGTAACTGATTATTTACAGCTAAATTGTTTTCTGGTATTTCTGTGTCGCTGTAGACATAATCACACATACTACTAATTAGCATAATAACGTTTAACCAATCTTGCTTGGGATTAAGGGGTTATTCACAAATACAGCAGGCAGGTAGGATTCCAAACATATTGCAAGCACAAAAAGTAATCTCATCGCAACATTCAAACACAAGGTGCCAGCACGTTTAAACAGCCGTGTCACTTAATACTCAGGACCACTGAAGCGTGAGAGGAGATGGCAGTTAACACTGAATATTGGGTGAAATTAAGTGTCTTTGATGTAGAGACACCAGTGATAGTAAAGCACCAACAGTCATGCATTAAACACTTAAATAACAAATGTAATCATTTCGACATTATCCTGCTGCACTGAATGGGCCTCATGGGTATGATTCGCATAACGGAAGGAAAGAGGGAAGGCAAGGCTACCACAGCTGCATATTGCCCATATTTGCACCAGTCTCTTAATCGCACATTGTGCTGGCACAGCTGCTTTATCATTCCATTATCATTACTTGCTGTCCATCATGGCTTTACGGCTCCTGTTAAATCTTTTGACATGTAGCGCAGATGGGATGGAGGGATACAGGGTACGTGTGGCGGATTAAATGTGTATGTGCATAAGACAGAGAGAAAAAGAGGGCAATGGTTTGATGAATAGTGGGCAGTAATACAGTCTCTCCCCTCTGGCCCCCTCCTGTTGTGTGTCCTGTCATGAGTCCTGACACTACTGTAGCCCTGTGAAAGACCTTGGCACATTATCTATCTCAATATCACTACCTGCTGTCTTTCTGACCCTTTCTGCACGATCCCACACTTCTGTTCTCCACCTTTTTTCTATCTAGTTTCAATTTCTATTAAATAATTCCTCTGTATTCATGTACCATCAACTAATTCTAACAATACCCATCTATCATTATCTATCTTAACGTATCCTTAATTTCTCTAGATGAATGGTACACTATTCATTCTTCAAACCCCCTCCTCATCACTATTTTTCGTTGCTCCTTGACCGAACCTCCCATGTCTTTCCCAGCCTCAAACCCACGACCTTCATCCCTCCTGTTAAGACGGATGCAAGGGCGGCATGGCGTCAGTGGCACGGCCATTTGGCCATGTGATGAATGGCCGTAATTACCTGTAGACGTAATTAACGAGGTCCAAGAACTGGGCGTTTAACTCAAGTTCATCTGGAAAGCGCTTCTCTATGTAGGTCATCATCTTCACTAGTAAGATGGACTTCTCACGCAGGTTGGGCATCTGGAAGGAGGAGTAAAAGAGGGATGTTGGTCAGAAAGGAGAGATAGAGAGAGGCCAGCCAGAGGGGAGAAAATAAAAAAAACACAGATCATCTATTCTTTTTTTTTTTTCTTGTAACTGCATCTCTCGGTCTGACTCAACCTTTACTGCTTCTCCTCCTACAGCTTAAAAGAGAATAAAGACCAAAGACACATCTGTGGGTATTATGCTAATGATAACCTCAGTGGAAAATGTGCTTTGCTTGTTGTTTGTCTAAAGGTTTCACACTTTTTAAAATGTACTATGCTGATTCAGTTCTGATTCACACATGCTATTATCAAAGAAATAATGCGACGATCTGCTGAATCACACATTTCTGTTTGTTTGTTTGTACACATTTGTAGAACTTCTAACATTCCGAACTGTCTCCCTGAGGGGAAAAAAAAACTCATTACCTGATTGGCAGCCATGGGAGAATTGTTTTTCACCCACTCCTCAACAATTTTCACGACCGCACGGAGGATTTTGGGGTCTGGCGACTTCTCAATCAGAGAAGTGAGGATGACCTGGATGAAGTTCTTCCTCATTTCCATGCTCATGACTGACAGTCGAGTCTTCACAAGGTCAAGACTCAGCATCACCAGCTCACTGGTCACTGTGAGAACGGAGATCTTAACAGTTAGAAGCATGACTGAGACAAACTAGTAGCTAGTTAAGAAAACAGTTAGTCACATTACTATATATATATATAACACAATATTAGCAATTTCAGACTCGATACTGATGGGATCTATGTGTTGACATTTGTGGAGTTGAGCACCATATAAGAACAAGTTTGTTTTATTCCTTTTTTTGCTATTCTAAAATCTAAGAACTGAAAATATTTTCACAGAAAGTGACAGAAAAAGCCAAGCTGGCCTTGAACACATATACACTCACATCACCAATTCAGCATTTGGTAGGTGAGTCATGCACTCATTTTTATAGTGAAGGCAGCCAAAATACAACTTAAGTTTCAATACAATCGGGATGGAACTACTTCAGTTACGCTTATTAGATTAGTGAGACAAGAACAATCTTTAGAGGAAAAGGCCTTGCTGGTCAGATGGCCTGTGGTCTTAGTGACTATAACTGTCTCTAGTGGAGAGTAAATGTCTGTGTTTCCCGATATAGTCATTAGGGCCCATTTTAAGCACTGATAGCATCTTAGAGCCATTACATCCCATCTAAGAAGTAGCAACAGGAATTATGTGCTGCTTGACTTCTCTAAACCTAGTGAAGCCAAGCTTAGAGAAGAAAATTAACATGGAACCTCAATGAATTTTGTAATAGTCATGAGCTAAAGCTAAATAAAGCTAAATAACCTAAAGCACTTCAACAACGACACTTAAGCTTGAACTCTTCTCTTTACCCTTGCTGAATGACATTGAAGGCAAGTTGTCAAGAAGTTCCGCATCAAACAGCGTCTACCCTTTCAAACCCACAGCAAAACAGCACAAGGTGGCCATCTGTTTGCTTTATCCAGTGAGAGGCTAGGAAACAATACAGAGTGGGAACTAGAGCTGAGGAACATTCCCTGTGAAACCAGACTATCTGTGGAGTGGATCTCCCCTGACCAAGTAAGCTATTGAGGACACAGCTGCGGCCATTGATATAGAACCTTGGATAAAGTCTTTGTATGGAGCCAGGCACTGCTGAGAAACACTGGATATCTGAGCTCTAACTGAGTCTGAGGAAGGTCACAATATGAGTGTGCATGCGTTGTGTACAACTGACCTGACACACAGAAAACCCCTTGTTGGATCAGGGCTGGGGAAAGTACACACACTAGCGTTCCTGATTATATGAGCCTGCTGTAACTGCAGGCCTGTAGAATAAATTCAACTGAAATGGCAGTTGATGTCTGATGGTGCACAGTCTAGTAGTGCATCTTGAAATATCTCTAATTGTGACTCAAGTGCCACTCAACAACTGGGTTAAATAAACGAGCCACACAGGGAGGGATACTGGGAGAAATGGGAATAGTGGCTGGTCTGAGTGTGTACATCAGTGAATTACTGTGGGGTTTGTGTGGAGACACGAGTATATCCATGGTTCTGAACTCATGCTGAGTGTGTTTAAATAGTGAATGGTAAATGGACTGCACACCTTTTTAGGCTTCCAACCACTCAAAGCACTTTACACTACAAGCCACATTCACTCATTCACACAGTGATTGCAAAGGCTCATCACAGACAGAAACTAATACCCATTTACATTCACCCACCGATGATGACACAGCATCAGGAGCAATTTTGAGTACTTTGGGGTTCAGTATCTTGCTCAAGGACACTTCAAAATGAAACAGGAGGAGTCAGGAGTCGAACCACCAACCTTAGTGCGCGAGCTGCTCTACCTCCTGAGCCACAGCGTTTTATACTTTCTAGTATTGCTGTACGATTATATTCCAACAAACCGTTACTTGGCACTCAAACGCAGTGAGCGCATCTATTTCATATCAGTAGTGGACTACATAACTTGTATTTAACAAAAGCCAAATTCAAAGCTATACCTATAGAATTTACATTCCTAATACATTTGTCCAAGTGCATTTATATGTGATCATTCTTTATGCTGTTATATAACGTATACAGTATATGTGTGTGTCTGTTACGCTTGAGCCTGGTGTCCTCAATATCTTCCCACTGAATTCATATCCACACATGTACCCGTGCTGGTTTCGGTGACCCCTGGGTTGGCCTGCTGGGGGCTCAGGTGTTCCCGCACCATCTTCTGCAGTGAGCGCATGAACACCGAGATGAGGCGGTCGATGTAGCTGGCATTGTAACTGCATGCTGACTTCAGGATCATCAGTGTTCCTAGAAGACAAATGAAGGGAAAGGAGGATGATCAGAGGGAAAAATGGGAAATACAATAATCTGACAAGAAGCCTCAACCTCTGTGGGGCAAGGCAACAGACACACACACCTGCAGTAGGCTTGTGTTCATTCACACAGCATGACAAGGACTTTTTCTCTTTTTTTTTTTTGAGGGAATCTAACAAAAGAGTGTCACAGAGATAGGTATGAGTAATGTCCCTCTCTGTTGCTGCTCCCTGGAGGGAAGACAAATGTTAGAATGTCACCCCCCATCATATCAGTGCTACCTCTGTGCGACGGCAGGATACCACAAGCTTTTTATTGACCAAAACTGCCATTTTGGGAATCCATATCAAATAGCGTTACCTTTAAACTGCTATCCAATAGCCATTTGTCACACTGAGGGCCCTTTATTTGGAAAG